ACAACAATGCTGATCAACTGAGTAGTCAATTCGTGACATCCATATAGGTAATTCCCGCGAAAATCGTCTCGGTTGATTGCATACGCGCCGTAGGGCTGTAAATCAAGAGGTAAACTTTTACTTCCGGTGAAAACGTAAAACCGCCATTTCTCCGCCAGTATTTAGCCTTTTTCAAAATTTTTTTTCAGAAATTAGAGATTATTCTTCGACCACTATTTTGACCCAAAAATCCAAATTTGAAGAAAATTGCCAACCCGAAGGTATACTGTAACCTTAAAGTGGCACGATCATTCTAGTTGCCCAGTGGTCTTAACAACAAAAGGATGCAACGATATTAACTATTCGCGAACGATACAATGTACATAAAGAAACTAAAATTAAAGGTCAATTATTTACCAACTGCTTTAGAAAAAGTAACTGCCTCTCTCCAAGCAAAATTAGCAATACGTTCCTAATACTTGCTGTTAGATCCCTCTTGCAGCAAGAAATGAAACTTTCCTTACATCATAGGTTGTCATAAAGTGGACTTTCCTCGACTCTGCAAAAGGCGGCGTTGTCGTTAAACATAGAAGATTGTTGTTGTGCATCGTTGTTTGAGTAAACCGGGACAACATCTGAACATTCAACACCAAGATTTTGGACACCGTTCTGGTTGACGTAAATTACTTCTGACTGCACACCAGCGTTGTTATTATTGTTGCTGTCGTGTATAATGGAGAAAATCTGGTCAGTGGAGTGTCCTTGCTCTTTTGACGAGTTCACCGCCGTTTCGTGGACAACCGAAGTGAGATAGTCATGGTTATCTTCGGCCGACGAATTGGTAACAGGCTTACCTTTGCCAGTGGGGTTGTTCTTCTGGAGTTTGGAATCATTGTTGTCAGCTGGCCCAGACCGGTCTTTCGTCTGTATGTATTCATAGCTGTTGTCGTCACCATGACATGGGTTCACTGACCCATCGCTTTCTGAGGTACCTCCAGCTTGGAATTGGCCCACTGGAGTATTGGTACTTGCCTTTCCAGCAGCACCATCTCCCACGTGTTGCACAATGAGATAACCAAAGTCATCTTCATCGACATCCTTTGAGACCTCAGGTTGTGTTTGTTGGAACACAGCATTATGTCTAAACGTAGTTAATTTTCCCACATGCTGGCTGGAGAGGTATCCATATTTACCTTCTTCTGGATCATCAAGATGTGATGCACGCTCATCGTCTTTTGAGACACCATTTACGTTGCTCTTTCCTTCGGGCTCCGTCCCATTTTTGCTCTCCATCTTGTGATGTCCGTTCTCCTCCGGCTTGGAATCAATGGGAATAAGGTATAAAGAATCGTCTTCATTGGAGGGCATCTCATTTTCAGTTCCCTCTGATAACGCGGATAATTTGTCAGAATGGATGACCACGAGATATTCATTGTCTTCTTCATGGGCGTTGTCCTTTTGCTTCTCGTTTCTTCCATTTTGACGCTCGTCACATCGCATTTTGGACTTCACTCGTGGGGAGGCACAGGGTTTTGCATACGTGTAATCTTTGGCACGCTTTAAATTCTTTAAACTCATGTAATCCTTCTCCAGTTTGCAGTCACCTTTAGTGTTCAGTTCAGGATGGTTACTCGTTGAGCAATGTGCTGCTGAATTGTCATCAACTTCCCCTTCTGTGTTTGAGCCATGGGCAGATTTTTCATCGTTCACTGGCGCCAAGGAATTGTCAAATGAAGTTTCTTGAGGTAAATCTGAGCGAGGTCCATCTCCATCGAAACCCAACGGTCCGTACGCATTAATACCAACCAAATTTTTCCAGGAATTTCTTTTCTTGAAATTTGCCGCTCTCTTGTTGGAAATAACCAGAGGGAGAGAGCAAGTGTTTATGGTCAAGCTAACCACTCGACGTTGTATTTTTCTGAGCCAGACAGCGAGAATCGAAATCAATATCAATAACAGAGACAAGAAACATAAAAGAGCCAGTGACACTTTGAAAAGAACGTGTTCATCAATCGAGATTCCAAAGAGGACTTCCCCGCAGGTCTTCATTCTAAAGAAAAAACACATACGAAATCTTGTAAGAACACCTTAAAGATCGCTTTCGAGTTAACAAGAGCCAACCACTTAGCAATCTATATATAACATCGAAACACTTGTATATGGTTAAGATAGCTGGAACTGTGTGCCAGCTAGAAAGAGGGCTGGTGATCAATCGAAAATTGGAATTTTGTGGCTTACATGAAGCCCAACTAAATGCAAAGAAAATAATTGCACTTTTTAATCTTGCAGTAAAGGCCAGAACGATGAGGCTACAATACTGTGTTATTTCACGAGTAAGACATGCAGATAAGAGGACCAACAACTACATGAATTGGCCAATCAGGATTCTTTATCATTTATCTCAACCATTATTGAGCTCTTAGTTTTTGTTTTGTTTTGTTTTGTTGTTTTTTTTTATTACATTTAAAGTCACTTGCGTTACAAAGATATTGCTGAGATAAACTACTACAGCTACGATACTGGTATTCTTTACATTTGTTCACGGTTGATTTACTGAAAATATAATCAGAAACCTTGTACCTATTTCTTATATGTAAAAATAGCTTTTTGTAATTCCCAATACATTGCAAAACATTACATGTACTTAAAATTACATTACGCTACAGTGCATTACATAACTAATCTTACATTAATTTTACTTCTTTTTTCTTTTATTATTATTGTTTATTATTATTATTTTGCTATGGTTGCCTACACTAAGAATTATTTACCATACATTGAATACTGCACTGAATAATGCACTATTTCATCTTTTTTTTTTTTGGCTGGCTAAGGGTACAAGTTGTACTGAAAAATAATTCTCTATTTTGCATATTCATATTTTTAGAAATAGGAGAGATATAAACTAAAGAAGGAGCGCTTTCCAGTTCCTGTTTAATTACAGGAATTTTCAAACATGTATCTTTGTTGTACCGCATCTATAAAATCGTGAAGAGAAATAGACTTATTGTTTAGTTTGCTACCATAGATATAGTAGCGCATAAATAGTGTTGTGTAATTAAATTTCTTTATCACGTTATTTCCGGGCGCAGTAGTTGGAGAGATTTGAGAGTTGTTTGTTTTAGTGAACCAAAGTGTTACTTTTTGTACGAATGACTTAGTGAAGGAGCAGTGAATGAAGGTGTGGTCGATGGTGTCCGGTTTAATCCCATATTTGAATAGTTCTCCCTTTGTCACGACAGTTCTATGAATAAAATTGAAATTCTCTTAACTTCGTTTCCTTGCATACTGTTCTCAGAGATTTAAAAGTCTTTCCCCGATGATCTTCATTTAAAGACAGGTTTTCGCTCCATCTTTTGGGACCAAACAAAATTAAGCTCTTGGTGCTGTTTCGAAACAATTTTTGAGTAGCTTATTAGTTTCTTCTCGATTTTCCCTTGTTAATTAACCGCTCTAATGTGCGTGTACGTGATTAGTGACATCTTTGTAGCAAAAACAAAATGTACCTTGTGGTTTTTAGTAAAACTAGTAACGGCACAACGGGAGTCTTTTCAGTTTTTCAGTAAACCTGGCAAGCACTCCGGTAAAATTTATTTTAGAAGACACTGTGAGAAAAAGATAGGAAAATCACTTGTTCCGATTATTTTCGAGACTCAAAATGCATATCTTTTTGGCTATGCAGGTTGTTTAACACATTTCATACATAGAATATGCTTGAACGTCATACACATGCACAAAACGAAGTTTTAGCTGTCAATGACTGGGGTTAAAGTAAACCAATTTGAAGGAAACACCGTTTCCGTGTGAGACGAGCTTGAAAGCTAAGTTTCTATATTTAATAAAGCAAGGTAGCTTGCTCCTTACTCCTTTGTTCACTCAAGCCGGACATAATGACGTAACGACATAAGAATTAAGGACGTTATGTTGTTATGTCACCAGTGTGAAGATCCTGACATAATGACATAATAGAAAAAACTGATCTTTTCCTTATGTCGTTATGTCTATGTCGTTATGTTTCAGTTAAAACAAGTGTGAACATCATCGACATAATAATTTGATTTGTGGTCAAAACTTGGACATAGCGACAGACAAATGCCAACTCTAACATCATTAATTTTGTCTCGAACATCCGCAGAAAAGACCTCGCGAACCTAGTTTCAAATTACGTCTGTACAGGAAATTGTGCAAAGTGCGTTTAAAATGCTATTAGAATTTTAGACATTTAAAGTTTGTATATAGTTGTATAGGTAGAAATTATTATATTTTAGTCCGTGTTTTAAAACATAAATGGATGGATGGATGGATGGATGGATGGAGGGATTGACAACATAACAAAAAACCAATCAGAGCGGCACACGAATTGTCGAGCCCAGTCCGCCACCAACACTATTTTCAAAATTCCGATGACTGTCAAGTGTGATCAGGAATTGTAATACCGTTTACCTGAAAAATATTCCCGATTCCCCAAACTAAACCCTCTGACTAGTTTGTGGCACTGGCCGTGTGCTCTCCTAGCTTCATGATGAAGGATCAGGCGTATGATTGATTGTAAATAGATTAATAAGTTTTACGTTTTACGTTCAATTGAGTGTCCACAATTAGTTATCTAAGCTAAATACTCAGACACTTAAATGAAGTTCATTCATTCATTCATTCATTCATTCATTCATGCATTCATCGACTCTTTTCTTCTGGCATTTCTCCCTTTGTTTTCCGTCGTTGAAGAAAAGAAACAGAAAAATGAGTTGCAATAAGTGTTTCTTCCTCCATTTTTAAAGTCTTGTTTGCACCTAACCTTAAGTCTTTATGTAACTTATGTCTACGTTCACATTACCGACATAAGCGATTATTTCCTTATGTCGTTATGTTGCTATGTTGCTATGTTGCGATGTTGTTATGTCGTTCTTGTGAACTATGCCTTACTCAGGCAATATCAGTACCATGAAATGATCACGTCTGTTACATAATCAGCTTAATAATACCGTATTAATTTATTAAGGCATTGTCGTTATATAGAGTGCAGAGTTCTAAAATTTAAAAAGTATAAAAACTTATAAATTTAGCTCGACACCCCCCATTATTAGTGTATGTGTTCAAGGAATAAAAACTTTTGCCACCTGGAGTAGTTAACAACGTCATCGCAAAATACGGATTACATTGGCCCGCAGCCGAGCGTAGAACCGGCCAATTTTAATTTCCAGACGCGGAAAACGAACTGAAACGCAATATTTTGATCAATATCCAAATATTTTTAAGTAAAACTGTTGTACTTGATGAATGGTTGTTTCAATGCCCAACACTGAAATCAACATTTGCTGGCCAAATATGTCTATCTGTAGCCATAACTATTATATAACTGACTACAAAGGTAAATAACTTGATTATGCATTCATTGCACTGATGTTTGTGAGGAAATGTATGATTCAATAAGGTTCTTGACGAGTGCCTCACGCAAACTTCACAGTTGTTCTCGTTCGATCAGCCGACATTAATCTCTGTTTGAGACAAGTACTTGATGGACAAGTCTTTGACAGGCATTCTGAACAGGGGCAAACATAAGCGCATTACTAGAACTATTAAGTAGGTGGTCGAGTGGTTTGCTAATGTTATTTCTCGGTGCTTCCTGACCCTTTCGAAAAATAAAAGAGGTCCTTATGACCTTACCTGTGTCCAGTTTTGATTAAACTTATTTAAGGCAGGTCTCTTATGAATATGATTTCGCCTAGATAACGAAGTCCTTTTCCTAACCCTCGCCGGCAACAATGATATTTCCGACTGATCTGACTGCACAAGCTCGAGACGGAATTTATGTCACAAGATCACGAGGTCACAGCGCTCAGGAGACGTCATATGTAATGATTATGGAATGAAATATCAGGTGATCACAGACTGCTGGAAGAGAGAGAGAACTGTGGAATCAATCAATCAATAATGATAATCAATATGAAAATAACAATCAATGTGAAAATAGAGGAGCATTAATCCCAGTAGAAGATCGAACATGTTTAGTATCCAAAGAAAACTGCACAGGACATGAACAGCATTTCTTGATGTATTGTCAGGGTTATGCCACTATACGACGTGAGCTGCATATATTCGCATATTTTAAACTCGGACACTCGTTACACCAGTTTAAGTGATAACGAGAGGACCAAGTATTTACTTAAAGCAGACAATCAGTAAAGATTAAATCGAAAATAACAGGTAAATATATCCATTTAATGTTGCAAACAAGAAAAGAGATTCTTACAATTCACAAATGTAATAAGCGCTATGAGTTTTCCAATTAATTGTATACGGATACGGTAAATGTTATGTTATATTTTTACTAGCTACTGTTCAAACCTTTATTATAACTAGATCAATACCTCCCTTTGGAGAGTAAGGCGCAATAAACATATACTATTACTACTATTACTGTTAATCAATCAATTAAAAAAAGGACGGGAAAAGACTAATGCAAGGCTGACACACGGTCGTATATTTAAAACAATATTTCGGCTGGCCAGACCAGCCTTCTTCAGATGTTACTAAATTTGTTGGCTTCACACTAGAAGCTATAAAGTTAGTTTCAATTAAGCACTTCACTCAAGTGCACTTGAAAATCTCAAGTCGCACTTTAAAAAACTTGACTAAGTATATTACTTGAAGCATTTTCGCAGTAAAATCAGTCATGCATGTCACAAATGCGATTGTTCGGCAGGAAAATCGTGAAGAAATGCAAATACTTGCTTTGTTGCTAACGAATACATAGCAGCAACACAAAGGAACAAACGACATCTTCTGTATTTCTCTAGAATGGCTCGACAGCGCGGTTTTCGGCAAAGAAATTGCTGTAACCGAGACATGCATCCGCTATAAACAATGAATTTCCGTGCGACTCGTCCAATGTTCAACAGAGTTGTTCGGGTGCAAAGCGAGTGACCTGGTTGAAACTTGAAACAGCAGCTGGTTTGCAATTTGCAGAACTGCATTCAGGTGTGGAATGATATGAAAAGCGATGGTTTAGGCTGTCTTTGAAAAAGACAGTTGTTCGTCTGTCCGTTCATCAGAATTGTAGCAACGCTGCACATCGCTTTCAGTTGGCTTCCATTTCCTATTGGTCAAGTGTGTTCTCAAGTGTGGTGTAGACCGTACTTCAGCCTCTTTGATCTACCAACGCTTCCATGGTCACTAATAAGTAAAGTCCATCTATTAAAGTACATTTTACCCCTTCACACTCAAAGTAAGTTCCAAGTGCACTTAAATTATACTTACAATTCAAGCTCCAGTGTGAAGCGAACAATTATGAAATGAAATTACAATATTATATAATGGTGGATGTCGCAACACATATTTCGAAACTAAAAGAAGTGGCGGAAATGACGAACAAAACAAACTAAATAAAGTAAAAATAAAATGGGTCTACTTAGGTTACAAGTTTCATGATTCATCGCGTCTGTTAATACCGTGGGGCTCTAAAGACCCCGCTACATCTATTAACGAGCAGTTCCGAACGGAAAGTGCGAAGTCAGCAGACTTCACTTAATGGCAGCAGTGAGGCTAACATCTATACTGCTACATAATAAAAAAATAGGTGAAGGACATAAAGGTCGTGTTTAGGACTTGCCACAAGTTGCTCGAGATTTCCCAAAAAGTTGCCCGAAATTTCTCAAAAAGTTGCTCAAAAGTTGCTCCAAAAAAAGCCAAAAGCTGCTTTTTGTGACGAAAGTCGCTCAAAAGTTGCTAAAAAAGCCAAACTTTTTGTTTCTCTCTTCTTTTATTGGGTGTGATGCAAAAATATGCAAGCTCTGCAACAAAAGTAACATTTCTAAGCATTTTTGTGCAATTTTGTGTTGTAACCCGCAGCGTCGCTAAATAAATTTGTTCACAATACGTATGAGTAAATACTACGCATCAATATCAAAACTTTTTAAAANTCTTCTTCATGGGCGTTGTCCTTTTGCTTCTCGTTTCTTCCATTTTGACGCTCGTCACATCGCATTTTGGACTTCACTCGTGGGGAGGCACAGGGTTTTGCATACGTGTAATCTTTGGCACGCTTTAAATTCTTTAAACTCATGTAATCCTTCTCCAGTTTGCAGTCACCTTTAGTATTCAGTTCAGGATGGTTACTCGTTGAGCAATGTGCTGCTGAATTGTCATCAACTTCCCCTTCTGTGTTTGAGCCATGGGCAGATTTTTCATCGTTCACTGGCGCCAAGGAATTGTCAAATGAAGTTTCTTGAGGTAAATCTGAGCGAGGTCCATCTCCATCGAAACCCAACGGTCCGTACGCATTAATACCAACCAAATTTTTCCAGGAATTTCTTTTCTTGAAATTTGCCGCTCTCTTGTTGGAAATAACCAGAGGGAGAGAGCAAGTGTTTATGGTCAAGCTAACCACTCGACGTTGTATTTTTCTGAGCCAGACAGCGAGAATCGAAATCAATATCAATAACAGAGACAAGAAACATAAAAGAGCCAGTGACACTTTGAAAAGAACGTGTTCATCAATCGAGATTCCAAAGAGGACTTCCCCGCAGGTCTTCATTCTAAAGAAAAAACACATACGAAATCTTGTAAGAACACCTTAAAGATCGCTTTCGAGTTAACAAGAGCCAACCACTTAGCAATCTATATATAACATCGAAACACTTGTATATGGTTAAGATAGCTGGAACTGTGTGCCAGCTAGAAAGAGGGCTGGTGATCAATCGAAAATTGGAATTTTGTGGCTTACATGAAGCCCAACTAAATGCAAAGAAAATAATTGCACTTTTTAATCTTGCAGTAAAGGCCAGAACGATGAGGCTACAATACTGTGTTATTTCACGAGTAAGACATGCAGATAAGAGGACCAACAACTACATGAATTGGCCAATCAGGATTCTTTATCATTTATCTCAACCATTATTGAGCTCTTAGTTTTTGTTTTGTTTTGTTTTGTTGTTTTTTTTTATTACATTTAAAGTCACTTGCGTTACAAAGATATTGCTGAGATAAACTACTACAGCTACGATACTGGTATTCTTTACATTTGTTCACGGTTGATTTACTGAAAATATAATCAGAAACCTTGTACCTATTTCTTATATGTAAAAATAGCTTTTTGTAATTCCCAATACATTGCAAAACATTACATGTACTTAAAATTACATTACGCTACAGTGCATTACATAACTAATCTTACATTAATTTTACTTCTTTTTTCTTTTATTATTATTGTTTATTATTATTATTTTGCTATGGTTGCCTACACTAAGAATTATTTACCATACATTGAATACTGCACTGAATAATGCACTATTTCATCTTTTTTTTTTTTGGCTGGCTAAGGGTACAAGTTGTACTGAAAAATAATTCTCTATTTTGCATATTCATATTTTTAGAAATAGGAGAGATATAAACTAAAGAAGGAGCGCTTTCCAGTTCCTGTTTAATTACAGGAATTTTCAAACATGTATCTTTGTTGTACCGCATCTATAAAATCGTGAAGAGAAATAGACTTATTGTTTAGTTTGCTACCATAGATATAGTAGCGCATAAATAGTGTTGTGTAATTAAATTTCTTTATCACGTTATTTCCGGGCGCAGTAGTTGGAGAGATTTGAGAGTTGTTTGTTTTAGTGAACCAAAGTGTTACTTTTTGTACGAATGACTTAGTGAAGGAGCAGTGAATGAAGGTGTGGTCGATGGTGTCCGGTTTAATCCCATATTTGAATAGTTCTCCCTTTGTCACGACAGTTCTATGAATAAAATTGAAATTCTCTTAACTTCGTTTCCTTGCATACTGTTCTCAGAGATTTAAAAGTCTTTCCCCGATGATCTTCATTTAAAGACAGGTTTTCGCTCCATCTTTTGGGACCAAACAAAATTAAGCTCTTGGTGCTGTTTCGAAACAATTTTTGAGTAGCTTATTAGTTTCTTCTCGATTTTCCCTTGTTAATTAACCGCTCTAATGTGCGTGTACGTGATTAGTGACATCTTTGTAGCAAAAACAAAATGTACCTTGTGGTTTTTAGTAAAACTAGTAACGGCACAACGGGAGTCTTTTCAGTTTTTCAGTAAACCTGGCAAGCACTCCGGTAAAATTTATTTTAGAAGACACTGTGAGAAAAAGATAGGAAAATCACTTGTTCCGATTATTTTCGAGACTCAAAATGCATATCTTTTTGGCTATGCAGGTTGTTTAACACATTTCATACATAGAATATGCTTGAACGTCATACACATGCACAAAACGAAGTTTTAGCTGTCAATGACTGGGGTTAAAGTAAACCAATTTGAAGGAAACACCGTTTCCGTGTGAGACGAGCTTGAAAGCTAAGTTTCTATATTTAATAAAGCAAGGTAGCTTGCTCCTTACTCCTTTGTTCACTCAAGCCGGACATAATGACGTAACGACATAAGAATTAAGGACGTTATGTTGTTATGTCACCAGTGTGAAGATCCTGACATAATGACATAATAGAAAAAACTGATCTTTTCCTTATGTCGTTATGTCTATGTCGTTATGTTTCAGTTAAAACAAGTGTGAACATCATCGACATAATAATTTGATTTGTGGTCAAAACTTGGACATAGCGACAGACAAATGCCAACTCTAACATCATTAATTTTGTCTCGAACATCCGCAGAAAAGACCTCGCGAACCTAGTTTCAAATTACGTCTGTACAGGAAATTGTGCAAAGTGCGTTTAAAATGCTATTAGAATTTTAGACATTTAAAGTTTGTATATAGTTGTATAGGTAGAAATTATTATATTTTAGTCCGTGTTTTAAAACATAAATGGATGGATGGATGGATGGATGGATGGAGGGATTGACAACATAACAAAAAACCAATCAGAGCGGCACACGAATTGTCGAGCCCAGTCCGCCACCAACACTATTTTCAAAATTCCGATGACTGTCAAGTGTGATCAGGAATTGTAATACCGTTTACCTGAAAAATATTCCCGATTCCCCAAACTAAACCCTCTGACTAGTTTGTGGCACTGGCCGTGTGCTCTCCTAGCTTCATGATGAAGGATCAGGCGTATGATTGATTGTAAATAGATTAATAAGTTTTACGTTTTACGTTCAATTGAGTGTCCACAATTAGTTATCTAAGCTAAATACTCAGACACTTAAATGAAGTTCATTCATTCATTCATTCATTCATTCATTCATTCATTCATTCATTCATGCATTCATCGACTCTTTTCTTCTGGCATTTCTCCCTTTGTTTTCCGTCGTTGAAGAAAAGAAACAGAAAAATGAGTTGCAATAAGTGTTTCTTCCTCCATTTTTAAAGTCTTGTTTGCACCTAACCTTAAGTCTTTATGTAACTTATGTCTACGTTCACATTACCGACATAAGCGATTATTTCCTTATGTCGTTATGTTGCTATGTTGCTATGTTGCGATGTTGTTATGTCGTTCTTGTGAACTATGCCTTACTCAGGCAATATCAGTACCATGAAATGATCACGTCTGTTACATAATCAGCTTAATAATACCGTATTAATTTATTAAGGCATTGTCGTTATATAGAGTGCAGAGTTCTAAAATTTAAAAAGTATAAAAACTTATAAATTTAGCTCGACACCCCCCATTATTAGTGTATGTGTTCAAGGAATAAAAACTTTTGCCACCTGGAGTAGTTAACAACGTCATCGCAAAATACGGATTACATTGGCCCGCAGCCGAGCGTAGAACCGGCCAATTTTAATTTCCAGACGCGGAAAACGAACTGAAACGCAATATTTTGATCAATATCCAAATATTTTTAAGTAAAACTGTTGTACTTGATGAATGGTTGTTTCAATGCCCAACACTGAAATCAACATTTGCTGGCCAAATATGTCTATCTGTAGCCATAACTATTATATAACTGACTACAAAGGTAAATAACTTGATTATGCATTCATTGCACTGATGTTTGTGAGGAAATGTATGATTCAATAAGGTTCTTGACGAGTGCCTCACGCAAACTTCACAGTTGTTCTCGTTCGATCAGCCGACATTAATCTCTGTTTGAGACAAGTACTTGATGGACAAGTCTTTGACAGGCATTCTGAACAGGGGCAAACATAAGCGCATTACTAGAACTATTAAGTAGGTGGTCGAGTGGTTTGCTAATGTTATTTCTCGGTGCTTCCTGACCCTTTCGAAAAATAAAAGAGGTCCTTATGACCTTACCTGTGTCCAGTTTTGATTAAACTTATTTAAGGCAGGTCTCTTATGAATATGATTTCGCCTAGATAACGAAGTCCTTTTCCTAACCCTCGCCGGCAACAATGATATTTCCGACTGATCTGACTGCACAAGCTCGAGACGGAATTTATGTCACAAGATCACGAGGTCACAGCGCTCAGGAGACGTCATATGTAATGATTATGGAATGAAATATCAGGTGATCACAGACTGCTGGAAGAGAGAGAGAACTGTGGAATCAATCAATCAATAATGATAATCAATATGAAAATAACAATCAATGTGAAAATAGAGGAGCATTAATCCCAGTAGAAGATCGAACATGTTTAGTATCCAAAGAAAACTGCACAGGACATGAACAGCATTTCTTGATGTATTGTCAGGGTTATGCCACTATACGACGTGAGCTGCATATATTCGCATATTTTAAACTCGGACACTCGTTACACCAGTTTAAGTGATAACGAGAGGACCAAGTATTTACTTAAAGCAGACAATCAGTAAAGATTAAATCGAAAATAACAGGTAAATATATCCATTTAATGTTGCAAACAAGAAAAGAGATTCTTACAATTCACAAATGTAATAAGCGCTATGAGTTTTCCAATTAATTGTATACGGATACGGTAAATGTTATGTTATATTTTTACTAGCTACTGTTCAAACCTTTATTATAACTAGATCAATACCTCCCTTTGGAGAGTAAGGCGCAATAAACATATACTATTACTACTATTACTGTTAATCAATCAATTAAAAAAAGGACGGGAAAAGACTAATGCAAGGCTGACACACGGTCGTATATTTAAAACAATATTTCGGCTGGCCAGACCAGCCTTCTTCAGATGTTACTAAATTTGTTGGCTTCACACTAGAAGCTATAAAGTTAGTTTCAATTAAGCACTTCACTCAAGTGCACTTGAAAATCTCAAGTCGCACTTTAAAAAACTTGACTAAGTATATTACTTGAAGCATTTTCGCAGTAAAATCAGTCATGCATGTCACAAATGCGATTGTTCGGCAGGAAAATCGTGAAGAAATGCAAATACTTGCTTTGTTGCTAACGAATACATAGCAGCAACACAAAGGAACAAACGACATCTTCTGTATTTCTCTAGAATGGCTCGACAGCGCGGTTTTCGGCAAAGAAATTGCTGTAACCGAGACATGCATCCGCTATAAACAATGAATTTCCGTGCGACTCGTCCAATGTTCAACAGAGTTGTTCGGGTGCAAAGCGAGTGACCTGGTTGAAACTTGAAACAGCAGCTGGTTTGCAATTTGCAGAACTGCATTCAGGTGTGGAATGATATGAAAAGCGATGGTTTAGGCTGTCTTTGAAAAAGACAGTTGTTCGTCTGTCCGTTCATCAGAATTGTAGCAACGCTGCACATCGCTTTCAGTTGGCTTCCATTTCCTATTGGTCAAGTGTGTTCTCAAGTGTGGTGTAGACCGTACTTCAGCCTCTTTGATCTACCAACGCTTCCATGGTCACTAATAAGTAAAGTCCATCTATTAAAGTACATTTTACCCCTTCACACTCAAAGTAAGTTCCAAGTGCACTTAAATTATACTTACAATTCAAGCTCCAGTGTGAAGCGAACAATTATGAAATGAAATTACAATATTATATAATGGTGGATGTCGCAACACATATTTCGAAACTAAAAGAAGTGGCGGAAATGACGAACAAAACAAACTAAATAAAGTAAAAATAAAATGGGTCTACTTAGGTTACAAGTTTCATGATTCATCGCGTCTGTTAATACCGTGGGGCTCCAAAGACCCCGCTACATCTATTAACGAGCAGTTCCGAACGGAAAGTGCGAAGTCAGCAGACTTCACTTAATGGCAGCAGTGAGGCTAATATCTATACTGCTACATAATAAAAAAATAGGTGAAGGACATAAAGGTCGTGTTTAGGACTTGCCACAAGTTGCTCGAGATTTCCCAAAAAGTTGCCCGAAATTTCTCAAAAAGTTGCTCAAAAGTTGCTCCAAAAAAAGCCAAAAGCTGCTTTTTGTGACGAAAGTCGCTCAAAAGTTGCTAAAAAAGCCAAACTTTTTGTTTCTCTCTTCTTTTATTGGGTGTGATGCAAAAATATGCAAGCTCTGCAACAAAAGTAACATTTCTAAGCATTTTTGTGCAATTTTGTGTTGTAACCCGCAGCGTCGCTAAATAAATTTGTTCACAATACGTATGAGTAAATACTACGCATCAATATCAAAACTTTTTAAAACTCTTTTTAAATTTTTTTTAACAAAAATTTGAAAAAAAAATTTTTTTTAATTTTAAAAAATTAAAGAAATTCACAAGTTTTCTATTGAAACATTGTAAACTATAGAAGTATACATGGCCAATTGCAGCACTAAAAGCTGCTCCGATATCTAGAAAACTAGAAATTGCTCAGTATGCAAAAAGTAGCTCGAAACAAACAAAATTGCTCGAAATACGAAAAGTTGCCAAAAAGTTGCCGAGCAACTTATGGCAAGCCCTAATCGTGTTCATGAAAAATAGTGATTTGGATATAAGCGTCCTACCGTGAAGTATATTTGTGCTATCCAAATAAGCTTCATTGTTGAGAACGCAAAAGTCAGCTGAAATTAAAGTTTATATAAGTAACACCAAAACAATTCTTCTAGAAGAGAATGCTAATTCAATAAGCGATACATTTGGTTGAACAAGCGATATTTCCATACCGTAGACGAGAAAGTCCATTTTAAAACTTGTCCACAGTGTTCCGTGGCGCGGTTTTGGTTTATATCTGATAGAATCACGTGAGCCGAGTGGATAAGCTCACCACTGACCCTGAGGGACTCCTGCGGAAATTTAAACGCTTTTATTTTTCCCGTGCGAAAGTCGAATTTGAGTAATTCTGAGACTTGTTTTCCTTTCCTTCATTCATGTTTGTTGTTGTTGTTGTTGTTATTATTATTATTATTATATCAGTTTATATGTATTCAGGAAGACCTTTGATTCAGACCTTCTTGCAACCCGAAGGACGATATCATTGTTTCTAAGTCATTATCACCCTCTTAACCATCGGTCGAGTCTTCTTGATGCTTTTATTCCTTACCATTT